TCTTATACTTCATAAACGAAGAATCGAATCCGAACCAGAACTGTAACAAATTTTTACTTTGACCTATATTGATCCTAATCTCTAGAACCTAAAAAACTGGAACCGAATAAAACCATAGCGGAACCGATCCGAATTCCCGAAGGTCATTCCTAATTTAACAACTTATCACGATACTTACGAATATGAATATAACTACTATGTCATAATGTGTGAGTTATAAAAATGAAAATGTAAATATTGAAATGAGAGAGAGAGTGTTAAAAGCAACGACGTCAGAGGGGAAATCCAAACCCATAAAACATGGGGGAACGATTCACTTCCACTTCGTCAGAAGTAAGTGACAGTGAACTTCAGAATCCCTCCACTTTTTCTTTTTCTTTTTTTCTTGTAAAAATGAAATCTCCTTTACAAAAATACAAATATCTTTTCTATTTCTTTGTGCGCGACCCTTTCTTTTTCACATATCATGAAAAATCTATTATCCAAGATTCGATGCTTATACTTTTAAACATGTAGCAATCAAACTTGAATTGACCAACGCAAAATATGATTTTTTTTAACTGAATTTTACGTTTAACTTACCCAATAACTTGCATTGCTTCATTTTAAGAAACGAATGAAGATAACTATAGTTATATTAACATTAGTTCTAACAAACTCCTAGCACTTTTTTGTTTTTTCCTATACAATGGTCGCTATAGGTAATTGTTCTCCATCTCGACCAAATGGAAATAATAGTATATCGTAAATGCTAAATTTTTTATATATAAAAAAATGTTAGAACATAGATTATTGCATCCCATTGACTATAGTCTACAAATATTTGAATGTTATAAGATACATACTCCTAGATCATAAAAAAATTGTTTAGTAACAAATGGGCAAAGAGGAGAATAAGAAATGATTAAACAGCGAGAAGAATTGCATCGGAACTCTGCAATACACAAAGTCTCTGTCTCTCTATCTTTGGTGGTGAGATCTTTTTTTTTTTTTTCTTCTGAGGGTAAAAAAAAGAGAGAGAGAGGAGACGAAGAAACTCGCGAGGAACACGCAACCCATTCCTCTCTGTGTCACTGTCTCCATCAACTCATCATCATCTTTCATTTCTCTTCACCATTCTTCTTCTTTTTTTCTTTTTTAAAAAACAAACTTTCTGTTTAAAATCAAATAATGCGGTTTTGTATTTGACAAAGTGAAAAGTACATATTTACATAGGTTTTAAAAAATTCTAGGCGCTAATAAATTGTTTGGGAGATTAGACGGTATTTGTTTTCCGTATAATTTTGTTTTTTCTATTTAATTGATGCTTAAATTAAGAATTTATTGTTATATATAATATTTAGCATTTTCTTTCATTTTAAGTGTAACTATATATTATTTTATTATATATATATATATATATCATACTTTTTTTTTTGGTTCAACATAAAATATTTCAAAAACCATATGTAAAAGAAGCACTGCATTTTAAAGCTTCTTCGGTTTGGTGACCAAGCGTCCTAGAAACAAAATATAATGGAATTTTGAATAGCCATGATACATAAATGATGGTAAAATTAATATGCGCGAAAACGTTCTTAAACACTTGGTTGATAAAATATGTTTTATTTTCTTTTAGCACATTTATATTTACATATGGTGACATCACAATGAAGTAAAAATTAGGATAAAATAGTGAAACTTGAAATTGGATTCGGCGGCAGGAAGTAGACATAAACTGACCCAAACTCATCACCAATCTTTACTGTCTGTCTCTATTACATATACATTGCGTAGTAAACTATTTCATTATTTATATGGAATGTTTTAAAATATTATTACTATTCTTACAAGCTACCCAATTTAAATATTGTCCAATTGTAAATCAATTATCTGATCCTCCTCTCATGGTCAAAGGTCAATTCTGTTTCTTTATGCTTAATCAATATTTAATTATCTACCAACCAAAATTAGTTGGTCTATTTCACTATTTCTATAATCAAATTACGTCGGGAGGGTTGGAAATAATGCGAAATATATAAATTATATCATTAACTGCGAGGTCTAGCTATGTACACATGCGTCTTGTGTCTACTACATTTCTGAAAAAATAATTATTTTTAAAAGAATCATTTAAAGTAATGGAAAGACTTGGTGTGATATGATTGCCATTTTACTTCTTATCTACATTTAAAGAAATCCCACTTCAAGACTCAATCACTTTAATTCCACTCCCATCTATCTTCAAGCTAATACTTTTTGTATTTTCGTGATTTATTTTAAATACTAAGACTTTTGCCTCATTTTATCAAACACTTGAAACCCACTATAAATGTACGTGAATGAGCAAGCAGAAGTTCTTGCCTCCTCACTCTAAGTTGTATATTTTTATTCTTAACTCTCTTCTTCTTCTACACAAAAAAAAACTCTCTTCTTCTTCTACACACACACAAATCTTCCTCTTTCTCTCACTCTCTTGTATAAAATATATACATGGTCATGGAGATTATATGGAGTTTGATGATGCAAGAGAAATGTAATGGGTGAGTAACACTTGATGGAGAAGCAGGGCACGTGCGAACACAAATGAGATCGATCGGTACATGACGATGATCATATTTTTGCACGTGTTCTACTCCTCCAACACGTGTCTCTCCCCCTCCCCGAGTCTGCAATCGTCCATGGAGAGAAGATAATGTACATAAGCGTTCTAAGTTCATGATTTATTCGAAAACTTCATGCGTATTAGGGTATATATATATATGATTTGAAGTTAACATTGATGGTAATTACTCCACTTTTTATGTTACAATAATAATGCACACGAATATATAGACATGTGAAATAGTAATGCGTCGATATAGTCGTTTATAATACTATTTATTTGTTAAAGATTTTTCTTATAGTTATTTTACTATGAACTTTCTCAAAGTTGAAGATATATCTTAAAGTTATTTTACTAGGAGCTTGCTCCCGAATAACTGTAACGGTTTTAATAGAACTATTAGTTTCTGTTAATGTCAAATAGAACTATTTTACTTTACATGATATCGGAATATTCAAGTTTCAAGACTGTTGTTAACTCTGACAAACAAAATCTGCTTTTATTTATTTATTTTCAAGTAATAAATTCAGAATTTCAGATGTATAAATGGATAAGAAACCTTGATATATGTTTGAAAAAGAAGTAACTTGAGGAGAGTGTAATAATAATAATATAAAACAAAAGTTGAATAAACGATTTGGTTACGTCATAGTTACAAAAAATGTATGCATGCGTGTAAATGTGTAGGGTAAAAGAAGAAAGTTTGTTGAGGCAAAGTTGCCTTAGAAAGCGGGGGACTTTCTCTCTTTCACTCACTGACATATGTCTCTGTGCTCAGTCTCAGTAACAGTAACAGTTTAATAAAGTATGCATAAAGTGATTATATGACGAAGGGAAACAAACAAACACACACAAAAATAAAAATAAGTTACGTAAGTTATGTTGTCATGTACTTATGGAGACAGCCAAAAAATTCTTGAGGTACAATTTGTGAAGTCCTACGATGAAAAAAAAGTTTTGTGAAGGAAAAAAATGTTATCTGTTTGATTTTGGGTCTGAGTCCTTACGATATGTGGGCCTTCCAATATACTGATTATATGCGATAATTAGGTAAAGTGTTATTGTAAAATTTGTTTTGTTGTATGTGACTATGTTGTAATGTAGGAGTGTAACTATGTTGTAAGTGTTTAGATCAATAACTTAAGATCTCTAAAAATAAGAGAAGAGTTAAGAAGTTTTTTTTTTTTGGTGGGTTTTTATCAGTTTGTTTCTTGTAGAGCTACTTTTAAAAAGGATAAATTTGCACTGAGTGCTCGTATATATTTGTAATATGTTTTTTATGTAAGTAATGTTTTCTCGGTTTGGTTTTCTGAGCCATTCAATTAATTTAATATTATTGAAAAAAGAAAATAAAAGAAACTTTTGTCGTGTATTTCTAAGAAAGAAAGAAGGATATTGTTTACAAATTACAGATTGTAAAAAAACATCAGCTAAAATTTACTTAACCTAACAGACTCATCAATTCAAAAAATAATTTACACCTTAAAAATAATTTACATCTGAAAAATAATTTACATCAACCTAAATGATTCAGGTTCGGTTTAAAGTCGGGCAAAACGCTCCGCAGGCTTTCGGCCCATTAAAAGATCCTTTTGTAAACTTTTCAAACTTACCCATTGAGTCAATAACATATAGGGGAATGTATTGAAACAATGATTTTGGAAAATTTTGGTGTTTTGTTAAAATCACATGTTATTGAATTAATGATTTTAAAATCTCTTCCCAAATCCCATGTTATTGAAACTAAAATTTATGTAAAATCATTCCAAATAATTCCAAATCTCTTGTTATTCAATCAAAAATTTATTAAAACCATATCAAATCCACTGTTATTCAAACTTAACAAATTTTTTTCAAAAAAATAATAAAAACTGATTTGGAGAGATTTTGGATACCTTTTTAGTACAAAAATAAGAACAAAACAATCACACCTCTAGAGGTAGTATTTGAAAGGATTAAAAAACAAAGTCCAGAAAATAAACATGTTAATCCAGCCAAGAACTAACGAAACAATATCCTCTTTTTCCACCTCATCTTTCTCTCCCTCTATCACGATCCATTGAATAAAAACAACAGAGTAGAAAGAAAAATTGTTCTTTGTCTGATTCAAACTTCGACATGTATCGCATAATAAAATCAAATTTATGTTGGGTTGTCGATGGTGTGATTAGATATGGAATACTTGCTTATATCCAGCAAAAACAGTGACTGGTTCTCATATATGTGGAGATTGGAATTTGCGATTCTCATCTAATAAGAGAATCCGTTTACTTTTGATTTGGTTTTGGTTAAAAAGATGAACCCGGCAACAGTGACTATGGTTCTCGTTACACTACTTGAGTGCTTCCCAAGTTGGCTTCTCCTACCCAAAAATATCGCTTATATATAGCTCTAGGATTGAGATTATTGGCAAAGCTTCAATTTCTGGGTATTATTGGAACAATCACGAAGCAAAATAGCAATATTCTTCCCACTAAATCCTATCTCCTCTTCTTTGTATTAGCGTTTCAGTTGCTTTGGGTCTTTTATGAACTATTAAAAGCTTAATTGGACTTTTGTAAAGGTTTTACTTTTTGAAATTGAGTTCAATGTTTTTGGAACCTTATAAAATCTTAATTACTTTGAGTTGCTTATCAAAAATGGCCTACGTTATTCTACTGGTCAATACTTGCTTGTAATAATCTATGATAGTTGCGGATTTTATACTATTCTACTGATGATAGTTAATTGCCTTGGTCATGGTTTTAATTTTGGGCATGAAAATGTGTGTTGCGTAGCCTTTTCAATAATCTTAAGCAAATGCCTTTTTGTTTGTTTTTTTTTTCCAGTTTGGGTATTTAAGGTTTGATTGAAAAAGAGATGGGTTTTGGAGCTTTGAATTGGTATTGCAAGCCAATTGCATGCAGACGAATTTTGGGAAAAGGCAGGGGATCGTACGTTTGGTGTCTATGCGCCTTGTGATGCTTGTTTCTCTCTTTTTTGTTTTTGTTAATAAATTTTCCTAATTCACTCCAATAAATCTTACCTAATCACCAAATTTTTTTTCTTTTATTTAATAGAAAATCTAACAATCAACCTAAATATTCTAAAAACTTACCCAAATCTCTCAAAAAACTAAAATATGGAAATTCCACCAAATCTTCCCAAATCTTTAATCCAATACACCCCCCATAATGTATTTGGGTTTTTTAAACAAATCTGAAACTTTGAGGGGTTTATTTCGAATAAACAAACAAATCAAGGTCACTTCTATTATTCATTATTATCAGAAAATGACCTGAATCACAAAGCCAACAAAAAAAACCCTAAACGCATCTTCTTCTTCTTCTCTGTTTCAAAGATCAAGAGATCGCTTCATACAGTTTCCATCTTCTAAGATTTTACTCGGCAGCTTCAGGTACGCCGTTATCTTGCACAGAATTAGTTTTTCTTGTTGTTAAACTCTTGGATTTAATCCGTTGAGAGATGAAAATGGAGAGATTTTAGTTTTATCTTCTTTACTTGGTTTAATCTTTGTATTTCTGGAAATGTAATTGAAGAACTTAGAAAGAATCGATTCTACTTTGAAATGCAGATGATCTGATATTTGAGTATATGTTTGTAGTTTAATCACAAATTGATGTCCACCAGGTGTTTGATGAAATGTCTGAAAGAGGTCAAATGCTGTTTGGTTTGATTAGGATCTTGATTCTTATTAGTTTGGTTTTGGTTCAACGAAGAGAAGCGTTTTAGCAAACCAGGAGTGTCACATTATTGTACTGGCAAAGATTTGGCTTTAAATGGGATGGTCATTTCTTGATATAATGTTATATTATCCATTGGAGTTGTCTCTACTTATGTGATCTTTCTGTATTCAACGTCACGTAATTCAATTCCGATTACATCATTTACGGATTCAAAGTTTGAATCTTTGGTCATGGGCTATTGATGTGTAGTGAAAGTTGAGAGTTTTTTCTCAGTTCTCTGAAAGCCCTTTACAATGTTTGATTAGATTCTCTGTTTTAAAGTGTTTTATGCTTTGTTTCTCAGATGGTGATTCCACCGGCAGTGAGACCACCACGTCTCTTCGACTACCTCAAACCTTACGTGCTGAAAATGCATTTCACAAACAAGTTTGTTCACGCACAAGTCATCCACTCACCAACAGCCACAGTGGCTTGCTCAGCGAGCTCACAGGAGAAAGCATTGAGGGAAACTATGGACATCACGCGCGACGTTGCTGCTGCTGCAAAGATTGGTAAAATTCTCGGAGAAAGACTCTTGATGAAAGATATTCCCGCTGTTACTATTCAGATGAAGAGAGAACAGAGGTATCATGGTAAAGTCAAGGCTGTTATCGATTCTGTAAGAGAAGCTGGCGTGAAGTTGCTTTGAAGATTATTCAATCATCCGAATCAATTTCATCTTGTTAACTGTCAACATTGTCGTTTCTTTTTCCGGTTAATCGGACAGATTATTGGTGCCACATTTAAAGCCTTGCTTTTTAATCCATATCTCTTCTTAAGGAGGAAAAAAAGTTCACAATATAATGAATGTTATAAGCTTTGACTATATTGAAATAAAATAGATTATATAAATTTAATTATTATGTGACTAATGGTGTTTTCTTCATAAGATTATTCCAACGGGTCCCAGAGTGACGATAAAAGAGAGATTCTTTTGTTCTAAAACCAAATTTGACGGAGTCTGTGAAATTGGGTATTCGGGTCGACCCGTAATACTCTTCCTCTCGGGCAAGACTTGTAAATGTTGAACCTTTAGTCACGAGTACTCGTCTTTGTCTTTTGTCTGTTTTTGCTTTAAGCTAAGATCAGTGAAGAGAAAGATGGGAAGATGTTCAACGAAGAGGGTGTTTTTGATTCAGAGTCCGATTTTGTTTCTTCATCTCCTGATCTCCTTATCGTCCGGTTAGTATTAAATCTCAGGGTTCTTCTTTTGTTGTCACATTTCCATTTGATCTGTTGGTTAGATTTTAGAAATGGGTACCGAAGATATTGAATTTTGTAATCGAAAGTTTCAATCTTTCGTAATGTTTTTGTCATTTGGATCATCTTGACTCGTTTGATGCAAAGAAAATTGATTAGAAATTGAATTGTTGTTCATGTTGGTTCATTCTGGGATTGTTCTATCATGAAAAGAGATGAAAAATGTGCAATAGAAACTTATTAAGAAGTGTTCAATTTGAGTGAAGTGCCTGGTTTTGGGGGTTGTACTTGCTTAAGAATGGTTGTAGAACAATGTTTTCAGGTGCAGTGAAACCAGATTTGAAAGGAGTATGTGTTTCTAAAGGAGGGCGGTTTCCGCCTTATGAATCAGAAGGAAAGCCTCCTAAATCTGTTGGTAGAGGATCCAAGGATCTTACTCTGTGCCGGGTGTTTCGTAAAAGGACTTGTTGTACTGCTGTTCAGACAAACCCGGCTTTCGTAGCTGTCAGAAACTTGGCTACTTATGGAGAAGCTAGTCAAGAATGCTTGGAGTTGTTTGAGTTATTGGAGTGTTCAATCTGTAACCCAAATGTTGGAATTCAACCAGGTCCTCCTCGTATTTGCGCCTCGTTTTGTGACAGAGTCTTTGAAGCCTGCAAAGATGCATACTTTGCCAGTAATGCACTTACACGGGTGAGAAACTTCTCGGTGTTTGGAAGATTGTTATATACAAATGGTAGGACTTTTTCTTCAGTAGATTTTTGGAAGCTAATGGTTTCAGTATCTGCTTAGGTGATTGGCCCTTGCGGAGTAAACGACGACATCGTCTGCGTTAAGGCCTCAAATTGGGAATCCAATGGCACAGCATTCTGTGAAGCAGCTGGTTTTGCTGTTCAAACAAATCATGATTCTAGAGAAAAACCATGTTACGGAAGTAAAGCAAGTCTAGAATCAGTAGTGGAATCATGGTCAAGAGACTCTCGAAAGGAGACGCCTTTAAAGACTGAGACTTTGTCATGTTTTAAAGATCTTCTCCAATGGGTTCGCGAAATGACAACGATTCAAAAGATTTCTTTGGGAATGTCGTTTCTTGTAGCAGGAATGTTCTTGATCAGGTCTCACCTTTCTCTCTTCTCTCTTTTAAGTAAGCCTCTAAGCAACACTTCACCATACTAACACTTGCTTTAGGTGCTACAGGCTATCTAATAACCGTAATCAGAAGCAGCGGCTAGCTGCGATTCAGAGAACCGCTAGAAGATTGGGAGGGAACGGGAATGGGAATCCATACAGTGCAGCTATAAATAGAAGAACAAGCTCTGATTAAGCTTATGGAAGGATATTTTAAAGCAGTAGTTTGTAAAAGACCATGAATTAACTGTTACCAAAAGTAAAGGCTTGTCTCAAGTGGCAATTTTGCCAAATGCGACAAGAACTGTGTTGTACTGTTCTGTCTTTTTATTATACTGATAAAATTAGGGACAAGTAGATAAAACCTTGGCAACAGATTACAAATGAAGAAATGTGGAATCTTGACGATATGCAAAAGGGTTTGTACAACAAGGAAAAAAAAATAACCAAGAAATAAAGTCTAAGAGTGGCACTAAAAATTAAACTAAAAGGGCTAAAAGAAGAAAGAAAAGAGACTAATAAGGAGATAAAATCCCCAGAAGCAGAAGACAGATCATTCTGCATCTATACAAAGAAAACGACGTGTGTTTTTGTTTTCTCACTTTTTTGGTTTTTTACAGAAGTTGTTTGATGACTAAGTACCCTTTGGGTTCTTCATTGCATTCAACCCATAACTGGAGACACAAACGCAGTTGTAATGACAGTCTGAAACTTGAGCCTAGCTTGAGCTGTGGAACCGTTATCTTGAAAGAGAGAGGACTAGAAATTCAAGACTTCCCCATTTTCGGTACCTGATAAAGAGAAATGTAGATAAAATAGGTGTAAACGTGTGCGGAAACATGCGAAAAGGTAACCAAATTGCAATAATGCTCCAGCTGATTAAAATTGTAAACTTTGAAGTCTTATGATAAGTTCTCACATTAAAACCTAAGGTTCTGTTGCAAAAGTCCAATAAGGTTTTCATCCTTTTCAGAAGGTTTTTAATTTCAGTTTGTTCTAGCTGAAGAATCATGTTATAAGATGGGCTTAAATCTATATATCTTTGGTAGAAACGAACCTTCTTGAGAGGATGACTGCTTGAAGCTGGGGCGGGTTTCATAATCTCAAAGGAGCAAACAAGAGACTCGTCCACGCTCAATAATGCACCAGCGTTGTCAAACTCCCCACCATAGTTTGGAGCTGAGAATATCGTGACTAATCTCCGTTTTGCGAAAAACTCATACCCGTCTTCAACTACCTGCAACACAAAACCATCACACATGTCCAATATGGTAAGAATTCATGGAGTCTCTAGCTTTATGGACAAAAGCTAATCTCAAGTCATATTTTAGTCAAAACAATTTCACAGGTTCCAATTTTCGAATCTTTGATTTCGTGGAGGTCTTGTTTGTTTTTACCTGATGGCCTCGGCAAATGAGGTCAAGATCATTCTTATCCAAGAACTCAGCGACTTTATCGGCTCCAAAAGTGCAAGAGATACCTCGATCACTATCAGCCCACCCTTCAATCTTCTGATCAGGATCTGACCAAAGTAAATCACAAAGAAGACCACTGTCTGGAATCTCTGTAGGCCTCTGAATCTCTCGAATCTGATTCAAATTGTCCAAATCTGGTGACAACCCACCGTGCATACACAGTATCTTCTCGTCAATGAGTGCAGCTACGGGTAAACAGTTGAAGCAATCAGTAAACACCTTCCAAAGTCGTACATTAAATCTCCGTTTGCACTCGTCATAAAACCCGTAAATCCTATTGATCTTAGCATCCTCATGGTTCCCTCTCAACAGATATATCTTCGACGGATACCGAATCTTGTAAGCAAGAAGCAAACATATGGTCTCAAGACTTTGCTTGCCTCTGTCAACGTAATCACCAAGGAATAGATAGTTTGCTGAAGGAGGATAGCCTCCGTATTCAAACAACCTCAAAAGATCTTGATACTGGCCATGGATATCACCTGAGAATCCCCAAAAAAGAAAAAAATTACCACACAATAAAAAACCCTAACTTTACAATACCCAAATGCTCAAATTCACATCGAAACCCTAATTTTGCAATTTCACCCCCAATTATTCAATTGGATCATGAGATTTTACCACAGATACGAATTGGGGCATGGAGATCAAGGAGATTAGGTTGAGAGAGGAAGATTTGACGAGCGTTAAAGCAGAGTTGACGAATCTCGCTCTCGGAAAGCTGAACCTGTTTGCCTCCTTTACCTTCTAACAATCTTCTTATAATATCATCCAATACTCCTTTCTCCACCATCCCTTCCATACTCGTCATCATCGTGTTCTTTCTCTTCAGATCCCCAAAAAATATTCTCACCAAAATCCAAAATTGATACAAGGGTTTGCGCCAGAAACAGGCGAGGAATAATGGGTCGTGGTTGGTTTTCCGATCAATGAAGAGACGATCGGAGAAGTCAGACGAATTTTTCCCGAGAAAATGTGGGTCAAACGAAGAGAGCCCAGAAGTTTACAAATCTATTTTGTCTTAAAATTCAGAGGAGGAAAGTGGATCAATATGGAAGGAGATAAGAAAAGAACAAATGATTATAAAATGAGGAAATTGAAATGAAATCCAAAACTTTCAAAGTATTTCAGAAATCAACATTGATTAATAGAAAGTGAAAAATACACCCAATTTTTCAACGAAAGAGGTCAGTACATAAAACCAAGACTTCTTGTTCGAAAAGTCGCTAGCGCTAGTTGGACATTCGGTATCGGTTTAGCGATTAATCAAAAAATTAGATAAAAATTAGAGGTTAATCGAAGACTAGTTTAAAGGTTATTTTAATGTGTTAAATATATATTAATCCATTATAATTAAAATTTTAAATAATATTGTTTTCAAAATTACTGTAAACACAATAAAAATATATTTTTACGACAAAATTTTATGATTTTTATCACAATTTTGAACATAAGTTATTGTAAAACATCACAAACTCTCAATTTAAATGTCTGAATAACAAAAAGTAAAGGTGTTTTATACTTGCAATATAAAAATAATCGGAGTAAGAAAGATTAGGTGGAGAGTAATCAGATTAGACAGAGCTTAATTGGGTGACTGATTTCTTCAAAGAATTAGTTATTAATCGAGGCGGATAGTTGGATAGAGTGGACCTAACAACTAAGCGGGGAGTAACCGAAAATAGGCGGAAATTTTAAGAGCAAGGACCAAGAGTAGTCACCACTTCTTATGACTTCTTTGGCACATGCGATACAATAATACTCGTTTTAAAAATGGCGAAGCAAAATACAAAAGATATTAACTTTTACATTAGTCAAAAGCAAAATGGTGAAACAAAATTTATACAACAAAAGAAAAAAAGATATACATGAAATTTAAAATTGGTGAAGCACATGAAATTCACTTGACTAATATATTCATAGCATTAGATCACTACACCCGATCGTAAAATATAAAAGAAGGTAACTTAAGTCATTACCGACCAAAGAGGTTGTTTCTTTTTCAGTCCGTTTTGGGGAAAAATGTTAATCACCAACTCATAGTATTATCAATACGGTCTTACACTTCAAGATTAAACTCACAGTCAACTTACTTTTGGAAATTACAGCAACAAAAAATTCTTCAAAGCAATCTTTTGAGTTCTGCTTGAACCTTTCACATGCATTTTTTTTTTGGTAACTTATCTTTCACATGCTTATATTGCATATTTGTAACAACAACTCTTACATGATTTAACATCAAGCGATAACATTTGTTCCACGCAGCTATAAATTCATTTATTCGTTCAAATGCTCATTCTATTTTCATGTTACATTATCTTGCATGAGTAACTTTTTTCGACTCCAAATTTGTGGCATCGACTCTAAGAAATAACTATGTAATCTTTGTTTCAATTTTGATAAAGTAAAGCAAGATGTTAAAAAATAACTTAGTCTATATTTTATTATCTTTTGATAATATAGATGTCAACATCCACGTATTTAGTTTATTATGTACCATACCAATTATTTTTCTCACATAACAATTTGAGATAGTAAGTTCTTAATCTAGAAAAACTCACATGTACATTTTTGCTTTCACGTTCCATGAAACAAAGTTTTGTTTCTTATTTTACCAACTAGTTAAATTTTTTATTAACATTCATTATCCATATATCTTATTTTTACGTGACCATTCTTTTTAAACAACAAATCATTTAGAGAATAAACTTGAGATATCAAAATATCTGTAATATATACATTCATTTTTAATAAATCAATACATAAGTTGAATTATCACATATTCAATGTCAAAACATACATTAGACAAATATAAAAAATTTCCACCAACTATTGGTAGTTCTCTTTGTTTGTTGGTATTTGATTTTGATAATTAAATAAAAAATTTATAGTTATTATTAAAGAAAAATTAGAACATCTACGAATTTTTAATTAAAATTATTTCGCAAATAACTTTAACAAATATTCTTTTGAGATCTCATTTCTTTAACACACATATACTTTGTAAATGTGTTTACCACTCTTTTGCTTGTACTCTTGCATTATTGAATTATTGTGATAAAGTTGCATAGTTTATATTTCATAATAAAAAGTTTTTTAGATTAAAGCGACATAGTTTATAATATTAGATTGTTCAATTGATGATGATGAATGTGTTTTATCGGAGATGATTCTTGCATAATAATAATTCGGTCTCTATGGTTTTAATTTTTTTGATTGTATGCTTTCAAACATTAAGACAACAAGTTTTGAACTTATATATCGTTAATCTATTCGTAAACGCACAATAAACTAATATAGAATGCATTTGAACATTTTTTCTTCCATTAATAACTAATCAATGAAGTTACAATTTATAAGCTAAAAATTTACAATGCTTCTAAAATTGTTACAAAATATCAAAATATTTGTAAATTTTGTAAGTATTTTTTACTAGAAATAATTTCTTTCAAAGTTTGTTAACTTTACCTTGTTACAATATGAATTACAACAATATAAATTTATCTTTCGGGTAATAATCTTAAGTACCATGATTTTAAAACTAATAAATATTTAATATTTCAAACATATAATTTGCATCACATATCCTTCAAATATGTAATCACTTTATAAGAAAAACATGCAAATTAAAATTAGCAATATCTTTTTAATTTTAAAAACTTACTCAAAATAAATGTGTTCAGCTTTTAGAAATAATAGTATGTTGTTGTTTTGGTTGTTTCTCAACTCCTATGTTCATTTCAGTTTTTGTCTTATTATTTTCTAAAGTTTTTGGATTTTTGCTAAGGTATTGCTCATATTTCAATCATGGTGTATTATTTACGAGTTTGCGTAGCTATAAATATACAACAAACCCTTGAACAATATCCTTTGTTAGATTATGTTTTTCTTTCAAATTTAGTAATGGGCTTTGAGTTTCGTCTGCGGAAATTAATCATTATATGTATGATCACTTCTTTTAAAAGCGTAGAAGATTTAGATGAACGAAATGCAAAATATAGGTGAAATACGCTCAAAATCGTTTGTACTTCAATTCATTTTTTATCTCTCTCATTTTTTTGAGATGATGTGTTTGCTAGCTTTTGAACTTTTCCCATATTTCATATCTTTCTATTCATAATTTATGCTTAAGAAATATTTTTAAATTTGTACCATCTAAACAATACTGAAACATCGATGTACGATTTTGTTGTCAACAGAAAAATAACTTCCACAATAATTATAAATTTTATAAACTTAAATCTATCCGCCAGTCCAGTCATTTAGTTCATGATATAATCTTTTTGGGATGACATTAGTTCATGCATTAAAAAAACGAAAACTAAAATAATAGTGTTTTACCTTTTATCATTTTTTGTGATTTTCTAACAATCACATGAACCGTGTTGTAGGTCTTCACATATCTTAATTTTGAAAACAAAAGTGTTTTACTCAATAAACAAATCATTTTAACTCAACAAATGGATATAAAAGATCATATTCTTTTATTGATATTGCTATCATTTCTTGAAACACTAACACATCCGGTTTCGAGTTTTAGTTCAAGAGATGTTTTTATGTAAAAGTTCTTATATATATGATGAAGAGAAGTTGAACTCTATTTCTATGTATACATATAAATAATTTCATTTACAATATGCATCTAATATTATTTTTATCATCGAATTATTTTTCTCTTATTTTTGTAAAGTTTTTCCAACGCTTAGAAACTTTACATAGAAGATTATATATGTCGTTTATTTGTACTTTCTAGAAGACCACATTCTTCAATTACATAAACCATATTTTGATCATTCAAATTGTTTTTATCACTCACATTTGTAACATATTATCCATTTTTTTAAAACAACAACTACAATCATCACAAACCAAACAAAATATTCACAAGTGCAATGACAAATCAAATCATAAAACTCTAAAGACAATGAAGCAACTAAAGCCATTATATATATATATATATATATATATATATATATATATATATATAACTTTTGCCGAAAAATATAGAATCTTCTATATCATTTAAGCAATTAATCCAAACTTAAAATCAACACAGAAAAAATCAAGCAATAACTATTAATAATTTGTATGTGGTCAAATTGTATATATACAATTTGTGGAAGTAAAAACATATATATTATGTCACGTTGAAACGATTACACCTTTTTATTATATCCTTGAACATCATCTTTTAGTCCATTCCAACTAACAAACAAGATCATAAGTTTTGTAGAAAGTTTTAAGGATGATGCATTACAAGAAAATCTTAATCAAGGCAAGAATATTATTCGACATTTTTTGAGTAAATGCTTACTAAATTAGGTTTGCTATTTTTTATTACACGTGTACTCTAATAATTCATCATTTTTAATTAATTATCTTAGTTTCTGATTGATAAAACAGAAGTGGAAAAATAACTCTACTGAATTCATAGACTCACAAATGTAGAGTATTTTTTTTGTTATCACAGACTAGTTTTTTTTTTTTTGTATGTTTGAGAGATATATGCTTATGTTTATAAATTTGAAAGTTTCGTAATTGTTTTTGAAAAGTAATTCTTTATGTAAATATATTTTAAAATAGTGTATCTTTAATAAAGAAAAAATGAAAATTACAAATAGATTATTGTTATTATTATTTGTGGATCTGACAACTATAAATTATAAATAAATAGGAAAGTTTGGGTTTTAAACCTTTAATTCTATCTTCTTTGACCTAATTTACTTCATTTTCTTTTTAACTTCGGCTTTGCGATCGGGTCGTTTCCCTTAGTCTTATCTAATCCGAGACTTCTGATTTTGACGATGTATCTAGCAAATTGCACTTTAACGAAGTGCGAATGTTTCCCGGGTCGAAGATCCTCGTTTTCGGGATCCAACACCAACATTGTTTGACATAAATATGTTTTATTAATCGGGAAAAAACCCGAAAAATACCCATCTAT